CTCGAATTATCTAAATTTGAAAGTGCCATCTGTTTTCAGCTGGCTCCTGATCAACATTCAAGAAGTCATTGCTTCTTAGCCTCTGACGCTATTAACCTTAAGCCCCATTAGGAGTTACATGCAACATGATCCTTGAACCAACCTCCCTTGGTACTAAGCAACCACCTAAAAAGTACCAGAAAACATCAAAGCAAGATGCTGACATCAATTGAGGAAGTGCTTGCCTTTAAAACCCTTCCTCCAACTTCCCTCGGCTTCTCTGTTGCATAAGTCTGTCTCCTTTTAATAAAGCTTTGCTGGCCTTAAAAAAAAAAAGTTATATTTGAATACAACTGGCATTTTTGTGCCAGATATTTTTAATCATATTAAACAATTATAATTTTTTTCAGATTGTTCTCAGCCAGTTTAAGTTAATAGGCTGACTAAATCAGCAATGCTGTTTACTATGTAAGTGGAAGAGAGCCGAAATAAAGGAGGCAAATGAAAAAAGGAAAAAAAGATAAAGATCCATACTCGTGTGAGCTGCGTTAATTATCCCGAAATTGTCCTTTGCCCCCGTGTTCTTCAGTTGGTCAAGGGAAAACAGTATTTTTATCAGGATCACCTTCAGAGGCAGGAGGCATCTGCCTGGTTCCAAGAGGAGAGGAAAAGCAGCTCTTCGTGGTTTGGGCGTTTACCTCCAGTTTGTAGGCACCAGCTTGATCCTGCCCGTTGAGACCTTGTACTTTCTGTTGACTAACCTGCTGTGACAGCACAGTCCCAGCCCCTTGCTGCTGAGGTTTCTGCTCCTGGCTCACAGATTTTGATGAAGTTGTTTGTAGGCAAGGGTGTGTGGGGTGAAAGACTCACCTGCTGTAGATAAGGATCCGAAGGGTGGAGGGTGAGTATAGCCATGGGAGGTGGGGAGGTAAAGGGTGGGGAGATCCTGTTCCCTTTCACAAAATGCACTCCTTGCCCTGGTTCCACTCTTCTCTTTTCTTGCAGCTACTTTGTCCCTCCTTTTCATCTCCCTGGGGGCCAGCAGGAAGAAAGTGAGTTTTGTTTTCTTGTTGTCCAAGGTCTAGTATTCTGTTGAAGTTGTCTAGCTTGGAAGCCCTGAGGTTCAGGATCTGATACCCCACACTAGAGCTGGCCAGTTGGAATCTCCAACAGGTCCAGACGTTCAGGACCCTGGATCCATGTCACCTGCACTCACTGTCCCCTGCCCAGTGGGACCTGAGCCCACGCTGTGTCGATACTAAGAGCTAACACTTATTGAGCCCTTACCTTTGAGCCACGTACTCTCCTAAGTTGAGGAATTATCTCATCCTCGCAACAGTCCCATGAGGGGTTCCTTTGGATTAAGAAACTTGCCCAAGGAAATATGGCTAGGAAGTGGCAGAGATGAAACATTCACACGCAGTCTGGCTCTCAAGTGTGCTTTCAGCAACTGTGCGCTTCTGCTTCCCAGACACTGTCTCATTGTCTGTTAGTGTTTGATGGCATTTTATTTAATCTGCAGTATACTCTCTGTATTAGTCCATTTTGCGTTGCTATAACAAATACCTGAAACAGTGATTTATAAAGAGAAACGACATTTATTGCTTAGAGTTTCTGAGGCTAGGAAGTCCAAAGTCCATCTGATGGTGGTGACAGTGACCCAGGGCTGTCACATTGCAAGATGGTGGAAGCAGAGAGAGCAGAAAGACAGACTCTCTTCTTTTAAAGCCCTCAGAACCACACCCCTGACTATCATTTTTAATCCATTCACTACTGCATGGTCCTACAATCCAATGACCTCTTCAAAGCTCTACCTTTCAATTACCATAATAGGTTTTCCCACCCTCTTAACAATCACAGTGGAGGCCAAGTTTCTAATACACAAAACTTGGAGGGAAACAATTCAAGCATCACAATTCAAGGAGTTTTGGGTGGACATAATTCAATCCACTACATTCTGCCCCTGACCCCCAAAACTCATGTCCTTTTCACATGCAAGTATGTTCATTTCATCCCCAAAGTCTTAACTTGTTTCAACTCAAGAGTCTAAAGTTCAAAGTCCCATCTGTAAAATCAATATAAGTTATCTACTTCCAAGATACAATGGTGGGGTAAATATAGGATACATACTCCCATTCCAAAAGGGAGAAATAGGCCAAGAGAAAGGTGTAACAGGTCCCAAACAAGTCTGAAATCCAGCAGGGCACGCATTAAATCTCAAAGCTGGTGAATCATGTACCTTGACTCCATGTTTGACGTCTTCTGCACATTGGCGTGAGGGTTGGGGCCCTAAGTCTTCAGGCAGCTCCGCTCTCATGGCTTTCTTGGCCTCAGGTCCTTTAGCTCTCACAGGCTAGTGCTGTACACTGGTAGCTCCACAATTCTGGGGTCTCCATGGTGGTCCCACTCTCATGGCTCCACTAGGCTTGGCACTGATGTGGTTTCTCTGCTGCAACTCTGACCTCACATTTCCACTCAGCATTGCTCTAGTGAAGGATCTAGGCAGTGACTCCGCCCCTGCGACAGGTCTCTTCCTGGGCCCCCAGACTTTTCCACACGTCCTTTGAAATCAGGGTGGAGGCTCCCAAGCCTCCACAGCTCTGGCATTCTGTGAGCCTAAAGACTTAATACCGCGTGGACGCCACCAAGGCTTCAGGCTTGTATCTTCCAACGCTGTGGGTCCAGCCACACCTGGGACCAATTTAACTATGGCTGGAGTAGCCAAAGCAGCTGAGGTGCTGGTGCTAGAAGCAGCTTCCCAAAGCGGTCCTGAGCAGTGAGCCCGTGGAGGGTGCCTCAGGCCTGTTCCCCAAGACCATTTTGTCTCCCTAGGTCTTTGGGCCAGAAATGGAAGACTTGGCCCCAGAGGCTTCTGCAGTGCCTTCAGGGCCCTTTTCCCCTTCTCTCAATAATCCCTTTCCTTTGTACTAATCTTCTTAGCTAACAGTCGCTGGGCTGCACCATTGCATGCTCTCTGCTTCTCTACCACGTGGCTGTTAGAAGTAGCCATGCAGCTTCCTTAATGCTTTGCTACTTAGAAATTTCTTCTGCCAGATATTCTGGTTCACATCTCCTAAGTTCCAACTTCCACAAAGTCAGTGTCTGTAACTGGTCACACTTTCGAAGCTGGTATTTATAACAACCTTCTTCTACTACCTATTCTGTATTCTCTTTGCCTTCAGCAAGCACCTCAGGTCATCGTGGTTCTTTATCTGGTGGAGTGACCCAAACCTTCATCCCCGAAGGGTCTGGGCCATTTGTAGACTTGTCTGGATTTGGGTGTTGTAATTTTCTGTTGACCTTGATCACAGGGCATGGTAGTACAGTAAAGGTGTATTGCTGGCCTTGCCAGCTGAAAACAAACTNTGTGGGTCCAGCCACACCTGGGACCAATTTAACCATGGCTGGAGTAGCCAAAGCAGCTGGGGTGCTGGTGCTAGAAGCAGCTTCCCAAAGCGGTCCTGAGCAGTGAGCCCGTGGAGGGAGCCTCAGGCCTGTTCCCCAAGACCATTTTGTCTCCCTAGGTCTTTGGGCCAGAAATGGAAGACTTGGCCCCAGAGGTTTCTGCAGTGCCTTCAAGGCCCTTTTCCCCTTCTCTCGATAATCCCTTTCCTTTGTACTAATCTTCTTAGCTAACAGATGCTGGGCTGCACCATTGCATGCTCTCTGCTTCTCTACCATGTGGCTGTTACAAGTAGCCACGCAGCTTCCTTAATGCTTTGCTACTTAGAAATTTCTTCTGCCAGATATTCTGGTTCACATCTCCTAAGTTCCAACTTCCACAAAGTCAGTGTCTGTAACTGGTCACACTTTCGAAGCTGGTATTTATAACAACCTTCTTCTACTACCTATTCTGTATTCTCTTTGCCTTCAGCAAGCACCTCAGGTCATCGTGGTTCTTTATCTGGTGGAGTGGCCCAAACCTTCATCCCCGAAGGGTCTGGGCCATTTGTAGTCTTGTCTGGATTTGGGTGTTGTAATTTTCTGTTGACCTTAATCACAGGGCATGGTAGTACAGTAAAGGTGTATTGCTGGCCTTGCCAGCTGAAAACAAACTGCTTCTGGTGGGCCTTATGAACAGGGATGGAGAAAAAGGCATTTGCCAAATCAATAGCTGCACAACAGGTACCCGGAGATGTGTTAATTTGTTCAATTAACATCTGGTACAGCAGCTGCAAGTGAAGTCACCACTTGGTTAAGCTTACGGTAATCAACTGTCATCTTCCAAGATCCATCTGTCTTCTTCATGGGCCAAATAGGAGAGTTGAATGGGAATGTGGTGGGAATCACCACCCTTGCTTCTTTCAAGTCCTTGACAGTAGCACTAATCTCTGCAATCCCTCCAGGGATGCGGTATTGTTTTTATGATTCGAGTTAGACTTTTGTACACTTGACCTAGAAGTTTTCTGCTTATACAGATCAAGTAAGAATTTAGTAGGCTTCCTGTCTATTTGACTTACAGGAACACCATGAGTAACTAACCAACGCCATAGATCTATATGAGTCAGACTATTCCTCTCCAAACATTTCCTTGTTGTTTGTGTCCTCAGCAAAGACTGTGAGGCAGAGAGGAGGTGTCTTAGCCTACCTTTACCATTGAGGCTGGAGAGATCATAATTTTTGGTATTGAACTGAAGTCTCTCCATCCTTCACATCATTTGTTGATGTTCTCTAAGCAAATTGGAAAAGCCAGTGACAGAAAATGCCACTAGTGTTACAGGACACACTCAGCTCCTGGCTAAGGATCCCCAAAATTGATACCAAGCTCACAGTTCTGGCTGCCTGCCCCCAAACAAAAGCAAACCACCCAAAAGTCAAATGTCGGTGAAAATGGAAGTCAGCTTTTATTCAGGAATACCGGTGACCTGAGGAGAAACGTTAGGCTAGCCCATCTCTCCGGTAAACCTGTAGGAGAATGGCCAGGCTAAAGCCATCTCAAAGACTCAGGTTTACTGAGTGGGTATTAAAGAGGGGGATGAGGGAATGGAACGCAGGAAAATGAAAAGCAGGAGGGAGGGGACATGAGCAGCGAGGGCTTCGCGCAAGGTCTGAGGTGCAAAGTCTCACCAGGACTCCGTCTGGTTTCTGCTCTTGTCCTTGCCGTTATGGTCCTGCTAGAGGGGTGGAATCAGCATGACTTTATTTATGTCTTCCTGGGTGCCCTTTGGATAGTACATGCAAGTCTGCAGCTCCAGGCCGACTGGAAAACAATGTTACATTTATGTAAATAATGTCATCTCGCCCCATAACCAAGGTTCAAAATATCAAATAACCAAGGGAAAAGAGAGAACTCAGAGAAATATATGCCAAGGAAAAAAACCGTGTCTTTAACATTTGCCTACAGCCCATGGGATTTTAGATCCCAACATGGCTTCAGTCTTGCTCACTCCAAAACTAGCCAGAGAGTTTAGGCCAGAGAGTGGCAGCTGGGGTTTGGAGAAAAGGGCTGTGTGGTTTCTATAGAGAGCCTGTCCTGATGCTTTTTTTCTCTCCTACTTTTTCCCCCTTTTATTGTACTTTCATTCATTCATTCCTCAAACATTTGTTGAGCACCTGTCATGTGTCCAGGCACTGTGATAGGCTCCGGAGAATCCTGCCCTTGTTTTGCTCACAGCGTAGTGGGAGAGACAATTATGATAAGCACTGGATGTCAGGGTCTCACAGAGGAGTAGCTCCTGATCCAGATGGATGAGGGCAAAGGAGGTGTCCAGGTGAGGGTGATGTCAGAGGCAGCTGAAGGAAGAGAAGGAGGCACGCCAGCAGGGTTGGAACTGCAGGTGAGAGTACCTACCTGCGTCCTGCCTCTTCAGCAGCGTGAGAGCAGTCTGTCCCAAGGCACCGAGGGTGGGAGGGGGCAGAGTATGTCGAGGAACTTCCGGTGGTTCTGTATGGCCCTAGGGCAAAGCTAGAGAGGTAAGAAGGATCTAGATTGTGAAGGTGTGCTGTGGAGTGGGTTTGATCTCTAGGGTTATGGAGAATTCCTGGAGGGTTTTGTGCAGGCGGTGACATCACATCTGCCCTTTTGAAAGCTCACTCTGGCAGCCATGTGAAGAGGGGATCAGAGGTGACAAGACTCGAGGCTGGGGTCTGCGATAGTGGTCCAGACATTCCTAGATCTCAGAAGGTGTTCTTTCCTCACTGTTGCAGTTGTGAGTACAGAGGTGCTCAGAGCCCAAGAAGAATGGGACGCTGTGGACACCATCCAGCCAGAGACAGGTAACTGTGGGAGTGGCACTGCTACACACAGCCCAGCTGCTAGCAAAGGCACCATCCACACGTGTGGCTAATGTCTCTGTGACTCTGGGACCAGGAGACAGAATTCCTGAGTGTTCCCATCTTAGCATTGTGTCATAGAATAAATTCTCTCTTCTGTATCCAAAGATGATGACCTCCTCCCTCTGAAGGCAATGGGAATGAATGCTGTGGAGAAAGGGCTGCTTTTTCTTTTTTTTTTTTTTCCCTTTTTGTCTTTTTTACTGACCGGTAACGGGATCGCAACCCTCGGTGTTGCGCCCGCACTGCGCTCAGCCAGTGAGCGGGAACCGGTCTCCACATGGGATCCGAACCCTCGGCGGGAGCGCCGCCACGCTCCCAAGCGGCACCGTGCTCCGAAGCGGCGCACTCTCCAGTGCACCACCGGGCCGGCCCAAAGGGCTGCTTTTTCTGCCCATCTTCTGCCCAGCCCTGAGAGAAGACAGGGAGGATCTTGGTCAGGGTCAGCTTCTGCAGGGTGGTGAGGCTGGACAGAAGGATGGAGGCAGGCAGCCAGGGCCCTGCGTCAGGCTGGTCAGGTTGTTCTCTACACAAGGAAGTCCCTGGGGGTGAGGGCTGAAGCCATTCGCTGGATAGCTCTGAAGGCTGGGTAAAAACTGTCTCAAGTCCCTTTCTGAGAGGTTTGGATAGAGCTATGGGAAGGTAGAACTAGGACCTATATCTAGCCGGGGTGAGGGCTGAAGCCATTCGCTGGATAGCTCTGAAGGCTGGGTAAAAACTGTCTCATGTCCCTTTCTGAGAGGTTTGGATAGAGCTATGGGAAGGTAGAACTAGGACCTATATCTAGCCTGAACCTGACTTGAGCTCCTGGAGAGATGTCACAGTGAATATTATTAGCTGTCACCCATATTGCTAGCTGATAAATTAAATCCCTATGAACTATAACAAAGGATGAGGGGGGAGGGTGTGAGAAGGGGCAAAACAGGAATTAGGAGAGGTCCCTAAACAAACCGGTAGCATGCTCCTGTGGAGGCACCTACTCTAGGCAGTGACTTGCCCCCTCACAGATGAGTGGAATTTAGGGAGCCCCTTGTAGGGCAGATCTGTCCCCTACTCACTGCAGAGGTAGCCTAGCAAGACTCAACAGCCTCATCCCAAAAGAGTCAGGGCTGGCTGACTAGCTCAGTTGGTTAGAGCGCAGCCTCGTAACACCAAGGTCAAGGGTTCGGATCCCCATACTGGCCAGCCACAGAACAAACAAACAAAAAAAGTCAGCCCAGCAGATAATGCCAGCCCCTTGAAAGATGGTTGATTGTAGCTGTAGGTGTCTGATATTTGCAGCTGGAAGCCAGTGCTTGGCTTGGAGGTGACAACCAGTAAGTGTTTGCTGACAGAAGGACTACTGTTACAAACCCTCGAGTGTCTTCCCTTTTGCCACAGGGATCCAGGCTGGGTCAGACCGGCCTGGGGAGCTAATTTCCTTCAGTGAGGCCCTGCAGCATTTCCAGACTGTGGATCTCTCTTCCTTCAAGGTATGGCGGTAGGAGGTTTGGAGTCTCAAGCAAAGCACCTTCTTCCCAGGAGGCAGGTTTTCATCCTGCCAGGGTAGGGCAATGGGCAAGTAAGATGGAAGCTTCCAGCTGAAGGCCATATGTCACCTGAGAAATCTTGGTGCATAGGATCGTGAGTGGCCATGGACCCATGATTCATGCAGGACCCTGGTAGCCTTTGTGTTGAGCTTTTGTGGCCCTGTCATATGGGGGCCTATGTAGCTATTCCCTTGCTGTTCCCTCTTAGGGATAGAGAGGGCTGGAATCAAATTGTCCAGCGACCTGAGTAATTCATGGCCAATGGAGGAAAATCGTTTATTCCCTCAAAGATCCAGAAGCTATTTGGGAATTTAAGAAAGATGTGGGTTAGAAAAAAAGGAATATTTGAGGGAATAAAAACTGGGGGACTTTCTGGGACATCCTGACTGACCAGCAGTAAGTTTAGAGGAATGTAATTTCAGATCTTCAACCTGAAATCTGACTCAGGAGAAAGAGACTGACAAGACAGGAATCTGGTTGGCTTATAAGACCTAGAGCGCCAGAAACTACCAAAATGAGAATATTCCAAGGCCTGCAGCAGTGACCTTGAGCCATAAGCCAAACTAGCATGACCTAGTTTAGGAAGTGCTGTTTGTAACCAGAAGGTTCCAGCTACCCTTCCAAGGCATCTAACTCCAATGAGTCCCCAGTAAACTCTCCTCCCCACTGGCTCTCATTCTGAAAGTGGAGAAGGATGCTAAATTTTGTAATTTGTGTCCTTTACAAACACACATACAGAAAGATAAAAACAAACATACAAATTGTAGAAGCAGCCCTGCTGGGAAACCAGCCTGGCATGTGTCTGACCACACGGGGGATTCCCCTGGGCATCTGTAGCCTCAGGGTGGGGGTGGAGGGGGTGTCAGTGGAATAACTAGTTCTGGAAAAGCCCAAAGGACCAAATGCAGAGAACTAACTGGCTGATGATGCCTATGCTTGGGGACATCTCTTTCTCCTTGCAAAGAACCTGAGAGCTGGATGTCTCCAGAGACTCAACAGGTTCTTTAGTTTCTTCTCCCTTTCCCTCTCCCAAAGACCAGCCAGTTAGCTTGGGGTAACTGCTTCTTTCTACAATAACCGCCCCTGGTCTGAGCCTGATGGTAAGTTCATTAAGGCAGGTGAATCTAGCACTCTGCCCATTGCCTGTGACTTCCTCTGCAGAAAAGAATCCAGCCAACTATTCGAAGGACTGGGCTTGCTGCCCTCCGGCACTACCTCTTCGGGCCTCCAAAGCTCCACCAGGGCCTTCGGGAGGAAAGGGACTTGGTCCTGACCATCGCTCAGTGTGAGTACACAGGGGCTGCCACAGCATAGGCACTGCGGACAGCACCGTTTGCTGAGGCTAAGCCAGGGGTCTTGCATGTGTCATGTCGGAGGGCGAGTGGGAACTGAGAACAGGGTGTCTTCAGCACAGACCAGGTCTACTATTCTCAGAGAAGCATCCAGTCCTCCCCTGCGGGGCAACCTGGCAGAGAATGTGGTTGTGTTTTGGGGCAGGTGGCCTGGATAGCCAAGACCCAGTGCATGGCCGAGTCCTCCAGACCATCTACAAGAAGCTGACTGGCTCCAAGTTTGACTGTGCCCTCCACGGAGACCACTGGGAGGATCTGGGCTTTCAGGGTAAGAGGGAAGAGCAATATGTCTTCTTTTCCTTGCTCCTGATTCCAGAACTAGAGTGAGAGGCCAGATCGTCCTCTTCCAGCCATGCCAGCACTATGAGGCAGGATATCTGGGAGAGGGGTGCAGTGAACGCAAAGGCCCTGAGGTGGAGCACGCTTGCTGTGTTTGAAAAATAGCAGGGAGTGGGCTGGGTGGAAACGAGAGTTCCGGGAGCAAAGATCACTTCCTGGCCTTGCAGGCCGTGGTAAAACATTGACTCTAAGTGAGATGGTCTGGAGTGATAAGATTTGGAACTGGTTTGTTTTTCCTTTTTTAAAAAATATTGATGAAAATATTATTATATATCTTTTTTTTTTTTTTTTGGGAAAAAAAATGATTTCACCTGGTTTGGGATTATACTTTTTTGTTTTTCAAAATCATATCAAATTATGTTTGTATAGAATAGGAAAAATAGCTTAATTTAAAAAGGAAACTTTTGTTATAACACCAAGGTCAAGGGTTTGGATACCCATATCGGCCATCTGCCAAAAAAATAAAAAAGAAACTGTGTACGTACCCATAATTAATTGATAGTGTGCTGGTTTTGGCAATATGTTTAAGTCCCTGTCCCCTCCCTCATCTGTAATATAATTGTCTTACATACGAATATATCCTCTACGTATGTTGAGAATCAGATCAGACAATGTTATGATTTTTGTTTGAACCATCAAACATCATTTTTAAAACTCTGGAGGAGAAGAAAATATGTTGTATTTACCCATATGTTTACTCTTTCCATCATTCTTTCTCCCTTCCTGATATTCCAAGATTTCCTCTTTTATCATTTCCTTTCCATTTCAAGAGCTTTCTTTAGCCATTCTCTTAGGGTAGGTCTGCTGCCGATGAATTCGCTTAGTTTTCCTTATCTGGGAATGACTTGATTTCCCCTTCACTCCTGAATTCTCTGGATACAGAATTCCAGGTTTACAGGTCTTTTCTTTCAGCACTTGGAAATGTACCTCCTTCTAACCTCCATGGTTTCTGATGAGAAATCTGCTGTCATTTGAATTATTTCTCCCCTATGGGTAAGAGTTGTTATTATCCCTTCTTTCAAGATCTTTTCTTTGTCTTTAGTTTTTAGATTTTGACTGTGATGTGTCATTGCATGGATTTCTTTGGGCTTATCCTGTTTGGGATTAGCTCAGCTTTTTGAATCTGTAGTTTAGTTCTTTTTCCAAATTTGGTAAATTTTCAGCCATGATTACTTGGAATATTTTCTTTAGCCCCATGCTCTCTGTTCTCTTGTGGGGCTCCAGTGACACAAATGCT